TGGTTTACACGTTCCTTTGAAGGGTCTTATTTGGAATTAGTTTACTTGTTTCCTGGAAGAGCCTTTAACACAGCCTCCCCTAGCATCTTATAGTGCTAATATTTTCTCATAATAAGCACATATTAGATACCAGTAAACGCTGTGTTTTCAGAATTGGTTTACTTGTTTCTTTTAGCGGTCGTTTTCAGAATTAGTTTACTTATTTCCTGGAATACTCTTTAACACAGCCTCCCCTAGCATCTTATAGTGCTAATATTTTCTGATAATAAGCACATATTAAATACCAGTAAACACTGCGTTTTTAGAATTGATTTCTTGTTCCTTTGAAGGCACTTTAACGCAGTCTCCCCTAGCATCTTATAGTGCTATTTTGTTCTCATAATAAACACATATTAAATACTAGTAGACGGTGCGTTTTCAGAATTGGTTTACTTGTTCCTTTGAGGAGTCTTTTGCAGAATTCGTTTACATGTTTTATCGAAGAGTCTTTAACACAGTCTCCCCTAGCATCTTATAGTGCTAATATTCTCTTACAATAAGCATATATTAGATTCCAGTGGACATTGCGTTTTCAAAATTTATTTAATTGTGACTTGGAAGTGTTTTTAATACAGCCTCTTATTGGACTAATATTTTCGTATTTGTCTGATTATGTTTTGGATGTGTCTTCACCGCAGCCTCCCTAGCATCTTATACTGCTAAAAAAAATTGTAATAAGCTCATCTCATAGTGCTAATAGTTTCTCATAATAAGCACATATTAGATACCAGTAAAAGCTGCGATTTCGGAATTGGTTTACATGTTCCTTTGAAGTGTCTTATTTGGAATTAGTTTACTTGTTTCCTGGAAGAGCCTTTAACACAGCCTCCCCTAGCATCTTATAGTGCTAATATTTTCTCATACTAAGCACATATTAGATACCAGTAAAAGCTGCGTTTTCCGAATTGGTTTACATGTTCCTTTAGTTTACTTGTTTCCTGGAAGAGCCTTTAACACAGCTTCCCCTAGCATCTTATAGTGCTAATATTTTCTCATAATAAACACATATTAGATTCCAGTAAACGCTGTGTTTTCAGAATTGGTTTACTTGTTTCTTTTAGCGGTCGTTTTCAGAATTAGTTTACTTATTTCCTGGAATACCCTTTAACACAGCCTCCCCTAGCATCTTATAGTGCTAATATTTTCTCATACTAAGCACATATTAGATACCAGTAAAAGCTGCGTTTTCGGAATTGGTTTACACGTTCCTTTGAAGGGTCTTATTTGGAATTAGTTTACTTGTTTCCTGGAAGAGCCTTTAACACAGCCTCCCCTAGCATCTTATAGTGCTAATATTTTCTCATAATAAGCACATATTAGATACCAGTAAACGCTGTGTTTTCAGAATTGGTTTACTTGTTTCTTTTAGCGGTCGTTTTCAGAATTAGTTTACTTATTTCCTGGAATACTCTTTAACACAGCCTCCCCTAGCATCTTATAGTGCTAATATTTTCTGATAATAAGCACATATTAAATACCAGTAAACACTGCGTTTTTAGAATTGATTTCTTGTTCCTTTGAAGGCTCTTTAACGCAGTCTCCCCTAGCATCTTATAGTGCTATTTTGTTCTCATAATAAACACATATTAAATACTAGTAGACGGTGCGTTTTCAGAATTGGTTTACTTGTTCCTTTGAGGAGTCTTTTGCAGAATTCGTTTACATGTTTTATCGAAGAGTCTTTAACACAGTCTCCCCTAGCATCTTATAGTGCTAATATTCTCTTACAATAAGCACATATTAGATTCCAGTGGACATTGCGTTTTCAAAATTTATTTAATTGTGACTTGGAAGTGTTTTTAATACAGCCTCTTATTGGACTAATATTTTCGTATTTGTCTGATTATGTTTTGGATGTGTCTTCACCGCAGCCTCCCTAGCATCTTATACTGCTAAAAAAAATTGTAATAAGCTCATCTCATAGTGCTAATAGTTTCTCATAATAAGCACATATTAGATACCAGTAAAAGCTGCTTTTTCGGAATTGGTTTACATGTTCCTTTGAAGGCTCTTATTTGGAATTAGTTTACGTGTTTCCTGGAAGAGCCTTAAACACAACCTCCCCTAGCATCTTATAGTGCTAATATTTTCTCATACTAAGCACATATTAGATACCAGTAAAAGCTGCGTTTTCGGAATTGGTTTACATGTTCCTTTAGTTTACTTGTTTCCTGGAAGAGCCTTTAACACAGCTTCCCCTAGCATCTTATAGTGCTAATATTTTCTCATAATAAGCACATTTTAGATTCCAGTAAACGCTGTGTTTTCAGAATTGGTTTACTTGTTTCTTTTAGCGGTCGTTTTCAGAATTAGTTTACTTATTTCCTGGAATACTCTTTAACACAGCCTCCCCTAGCATCTTATAGTGCTAATATTTTCTCATAATAAGCACATATTCGATATCAGTAAACGCTGTGTTTTCAGAATTGGTTTACTTGTTTCTTTTAGCGGTCGTTTTCAGAATTAGTTTACTTGTTTCCTGGAATACTCTTTAACACAGTCTCCCCTGGCATCTTATAGTGCTAATATTTTCTCGTAATAAGCACATATTAAAAACCAGTAAACGCTGCGTTTTTAGAATTGATTTCTTGTTACTTTGAAGGGTCTTTAACGTAGTCTCCCCTAGCATATTAAAGTGCTATTTTGTTCTCATAATAAGCACATATTAAATACCAGTAAACGTTGCGTTTTCAGAATTGGTTGACTTGTGCCTTTGAAGAGTCATTAACACTGTCTCCCCTTGCATCTTATGGTTCTAATATTCTCTTACAATAAGCATATATTAGATACCAGTAAAAGCTGCGTTTTCAGAATTAGTTTACTTGTTACTTTGAATGATCTTTTTCAGAATTCCTTTACTTATTTCCTGGAATACTCTTTAACACAGCCTCCCCTAGCATCTTATAGTGCTAATATTTTCTTATAATAAGCACATATTAGATACCAGTAAACACTGTGTTTTTAGAATTGGTTTACCTGTTTCTATTAGTGGTCGTTTTCAGAATTAGTTTACTTATTTCCTGGAATACTCTTTAACACAGCCTCCCCTAGCATCTTATAGTGCTAATATTTTCTCATAATAAGCACATATTAAATACCAGTAAACGCCGCGTTTTTAGAATTGATTTCTTGTTCCTTTGAAGGCTCTTATAGTGCATCTTATAGTGCTATTTTGTTCTCATAATAAGCACATATTAAATACATGTAGCAGTAAACGGTGCGTTTTCAGAATTGGTTTACTTGTTCATTTGAAGAGTTATTAACACAGTCTCTTATAGTGCTATGTTTTTCGTATGATAAGCACAAATTAGATACCAGTGAAGGCTGCGTTTACAGAATTGGTTTTCTTGTTCGTTTGAAGATTCTTTAAGACGGTCATCCCTAGAATCTTATAGTGCTAATATATTCTTTTAATAAGCACATATTAGATACCAGTAAACGCTGTGTTTTCAGAATTGGTTTACTTGTTACTTTGAAGGGTCTTTTTCGGAATTCCTTTACTTGTTTCTTGGACGGGTCTTTAACACAGTCTCCACTAGCATCTTATAGTGCTAATAGTTTCTCATAATAAGCACATATTAGATACTAGTAAACGCTGTGTTTTCAGAATTGGTTTACTTGTTCCTTTTAGCGTTCGTTTTCTGAATTGGTTTACTTGTTTCCTTGAATATTCTTTGACACAGTCTCCCCTGGCATCACCAATAAGTGATGCATTTTCAGAATGATTTCCTTTTAATAAGTACACATTTGGTATGGTACATGTGAATATTCTTTTTATTATCAGCACATTTTAAATACCAGTAAACCCTGCACTTTTAGGGATTGTCTATATCTTGGTTCGTCTTCAGTGCATGTTTTCTATCGTCTTATCGGGCTAATATTATTTGTCTGTAATAAGCGATACCCGCAAAACTTACTTTTTCAGAATTTGTTAATTTACGCCCTCACCACCAGCATGTCATTATAAAAGCATAGGTTGCATGTAAATTTCATTACTAATTACGCACTATAAATATTTCAATTTTTTCTTGAAAAGAAAGTGATCATATCTTTTAAGGTATTTTGGGTATTAAAACTTACCTCAATTTAAAGCATTTTTTATCAACACTGCAAAAATGTAAGTTTCTGCAATCGAACCAGACACCATGAAATACTGTGAGTTACTGATGTTGATAATTCTCTTCTATACTTATATAGGTAACAGTGACATGTTTTTATCATATGTTTGTTGTTGTTATGGGAGTTGATGTAAATTGAAATAAGCAATATTTACTTACTAGTTAATCACGTCATAATCCGTCATGTCTCAGTTAATTAGTTAATCGCGTCTTAATCTATACCTGATTTTAATTAGTCAATCACTTCATAATCTGAGTCCGTTGTTTTATTAGCTTTGATTAAACGTGTTTATGAGGTGATTCTTTTTTTAAAGCCATGATGGATTGATTTATGAATTCAGGATTAAACCATTTGTTTTCCACCTGGTCAGAAACAATTTGTTCTTATATACGTATTGTGTTTCAACACTCGAGTCTTGCTCCAATCTTTGTGTAAAAATACCTAATATTCCCGACATAATCTGGTTACATTGTGTTAGTAGCTTTGATCGAAACAAACAAAATACCATTAAAATGTTAATTTACGCATTTGGTATTAAACTATTCATTTTCTCTACCACATAATTACGCAGAATTTGCTACTTTTATTCAGAATTAAACATAACTTGCTGCTTTTGTTCAGAATTACACATAGCGTGTTACTTTATTCAGAAATTCACAGGATTTATTACTTTAATTCAGAATTACACAGCTTTAATTGATCTGAGAGTATTTATTAAATTATAATTCTGACTACAACTATCATAATGAGTAATCTACAGTGTAGACACAATTTGTTTACATCTGTATTATAGAATGGACAATATCAAATTTAGACACAATTTGTTTATTTTTATATTACAGGATGGAACGACGTCGGGTGGCACAACCCAGCTATGATAACACCAAATCTAGATAAGCTAGCGAATCAAGGTGTGATACTTAATTCATCCTACGTTCAGCCACTATGCACACCGTAAGTAAATTTAATTCCCTGGATGTGTATTAAGCAAAGACTATAAAGATCGAAAATGATATAAAATCTTTGCTTACTAACATGGGTACACGTACTTAGTTTTAGCCTTTCTACAGTTTCATGCAAAAAACAAAGACCTAAATAAAATATGTATAAGGTAATGGTAAAATAAAAATCGAAGGGCTTTTTAGGGTTACAAATGACTACTTCAAACCCATGTTGCATAATATAATATGTATATTGCCATGTACGTATGTTTCACATCATGCGAATTACCAAAACATAATTTAACACTTGTGTAAATTTTACTTCTTTTCTGTCTGTGTTCAATTCCAGATCAAGAACTGCTTTTATGTCTGGTTATTATCCATATCGTACAGGGTTACAGGTAAGTACCAATACCTGTCAGTTTTAATACAATTAATGATAATGATGTTAATTACTACTTGGTTAAAAGTCAAAGATATCTGCCATTTTACTGAAACATAATTCGATCTAATTTGAATTCCGACGTTTAGAAATATATGTGCCATATTACTGCATGAACAAGACCAGTACCGATAATTTCAGATGACCAAAACGTAAAGATTCATTATAACCGTTCTTGCTATAATAGTTCCAAAATAGATAATGCAGAATAAATATAATTATAGTATTGAAAGTTTCATTCAAATTATTTTATCCTGAACCAAGTTATCACTGTTTGTAGTTTTGACAAGATGTGTGCATAAATTGTTTATTATCGTAACCACAGCACTAGTATATTGGAGTCTTAGCCTCGTTTCTCCATTTTTAAATTAAATCATTAAATGGCCGAACCGTTCTAATCTAGTTAAAATATCGAGCATCCGATACCATCTCGATAATTGATTATGGTCTTGTCATGTTAATGAATGTCTAATTAATAATTTATTATATCACATTTAAGCCTTAAAGAAAGACAAGACGTGCAAATAGACAAATTTATCTCTTGAATAATGTATGTTTAAGTAACAATTGAACAATTTTAATAATTGCATTATTTGGAACACTTTTGTTTTTAGTAATTAAGCTGCTATGATCTTGATTCTATGTGCAACTTTTAATCTGGCCTGTAAGATTTATACTGTTTGACCCGATATTATTAACCCGGTGTCATATTTCTTACTCTTTTCAGCACCTTGTTATATTACCGTTTAGTCCAGCTTACCTAAGAACAAACTATACTTTGTTGCCCGAAAAATTGAAGGACTTGGGATATAATACACATATGATTGGAAAGTAGGTAAAACATGGTCTCTGAACACCATTTGTGTGATAAAGGGATCGCTTGCAAACTTCAATATTGTGAGGGCTGAGTATCTACCAAAAGGAATATCAGCCCAACAATGGTCCACTTCCTCTCAGAATGACAAAGACATGATGAATTGTAAATTTGTGAACATTCTGCAACCTCCGAAAATGCAAATGACGCACAGGAATAGACTATAGGGACACATGTAAATAATCTACATGCTACAGGTTTTTTTTTTCGATTTTTTCGAAGTGTTAGAGTTCTTTAATTGAATCATAAAAAAGAAAAACCCTATTCAAATTCAGAATATTGTGGAGTTATCCCCCCATTTTTGTCCGGATCCATGGTAACTTGTGATTGTTTATTGAGACATAATATTAAAGCTTTAAGTTGCAATTTCATATTTTTAAGTTATAATTTTAAAATTTATTGAAATAAAGCCTTAAAATAGATGGTATCTATTAACAGTCCTACCTTGTTAACGAATAATCCTATTAATCCTATAATTCACTATTGCCAGTTGAGAAATTGGCAAAAATATCATTTTCATCTTCAAATTCCAACGTTTGAAGATAACTACTCCATGGCGGAGAATAGAAAACAAGGGAGGTAATTGTGTTATTATTTCCGGTGTAAACGAGTTTTAAGTGTGAGAATGACACCTATGATCGTATAATAGTGAGTTGACAACCTACTGAGCAAAAGACATAGAAATAATTATTTTTTGACTTTCTTAGAAAATATGAAATTGCAACTTTAAGATTATTAATATATAAAGGACACCTGGGTTTTTTTAACTGTTGTGTAAATTTTAAACTAAGAATATTGATATTTTTATTGATGGTATCTGGGGTTTCCTAACTGTTTGAAAGCCTGGGGTTTTGTAACTGTTTTGTAAATTTTAAACTAAAGATATTTTTATAGATGGCATCTGGGGTTTCCTAAAAGGTGTTTTATTTTAAAGTAAGAATATTGATATTTTTATAGATGGCATCTGGGGTTTTGCAACTGGAACTATACACCAACATATCGTGGATTTGATAGTTTCTATGGATATTATAATGGCCAGGAAGATTATTATTCTCGTAAGTAAACCCCTTATATTTTAATATAAAGGAGCAATCCCAGATTTCATAGGACATTGTAATTAAAGTAGGTTCAAGTATGATAATATAGTCTATTTACTTGTCAGAAAAGTTTATATCAAAGCATTGAGCCGTTCGGAAATGATCGCTGGATTTGCTTACCGGGGTTACGTAACTCATTCATGGAAATATTCTTCCTGGTGACTAGATAATAGTGACGATCCTTACCACTGTAACGTCCGCATCTATATAGACAGGGTTATCCAGACACTTGGCCAGGTTGAGATTTCGGGACTTATGGCCAACCCCAGATAAACAGGACTAGGATAAAGCATTCCAAGTCTCATTTCACACGGTATTAACAACCTATTTTATTCACCAGAATATATTGACGATAAAAATATGTAAGAAATTTAGGAATAGGGACGGGTTCACATGGCTGTACTTTTGTATTCTGCTTTATATCGTATTTTCCTTTTTGAACTACTTCAAATTGTTTTCAAATAATACTGAATTGTCAGAAAGGTCGAAAGTATTTTAGCTGTAAAAATAGAAGCAGCAGGTGGAGGAATGAAAGATTAATCGAAATAGAGCTAGGGCTTTAGACAGTCGGGACACCCCCATATAGTTTGTGTTCAAACATCAATCACACAAACACACTAACCGATGTCTAAATATCAATGTATTTTAGATAAGGTATTGTTTGGTTTAGACTATCGAGATGATGAAAAAGTTGTAGAAGATCAAGAGGGCGTATATTCTGCTGTAAGTATAGACCGACTCATATGTACAGCTGATTTGCATATTTATGTGAATAAAAGATCTTGTTTTACTTTCCTGAGTAAACAATATAAAAGTATCGAATATGAACATCCGTTCTGTTTATCTCTTGGGGTAGTGTTCTGTTCTATAAGGCATAGAAGTTTGAAATGGCATCTCAGTGCCGAACGGTCTTGCACTAGAACAAACACGAAAACGTAAACGTTTTTGTCACCAGTTATTGTGGTCGCGTGCTGGTCACGCCATGGTTGATTACGTGATCTGGATATCATAATCTTTAAAATTATCGTTTTACTGCGTCGTGTCGCACTTCTCGAATTTTTCTTCTATTTTATATTAATACTTTCAGTTCAGGTATACGGAACGTGCCACAGAAATTATCGAGTCACACAACACATCCAATCCCATGTTTCTTTATTTGGCTTTCCAGGATGTACATGCTCCACTTCAGGCAAGTGCTAATTTAAATAACTATATATTTGATTTATCCTACTGTTCTGCAACGACTGGACTAATGAACACGTGGGGTTGTGATGGAAACGAGACTGAATTTTTTGGTGGATGATGGATGAAATAATTTGTTTATTAATTAGCTGAAATTGGACGACACCACAGGGTGTGGTAAACGTTCCTTAGCTATATATAAATTATATGATTCGTCACACCAATATCTTTTAAACCTTACCCCACGCAATTTGCGTTATGTTTAGCAACATAAATCACCATAACACATAAATTATTACTACTGGCAGCTACCTTTCCATCCAAACCACACAGCAAATGAAAATCCCAAACAATTAAAACTCCCAAGTTAAGAAAATTTGACGTTAATATACTATTCAAAAAAAGTAGGGGATATTTGATTTTTAAGTGTTATTGAAGTCACCTAATGAAACTGACGAAGAAACAAATGACAAAATGAAATGAAGTTCACATTCATCGATTTATTCCAAATGATCGTTAGACTAAGTAAGGCACAGACTGACCATTATAAGGGTAAAATGATACCCAGGGTCAAACAGCAAAGTTACCACAGCATCACAACCAAGTCAGTAACGGGTAAATCCTCCTCTGTTTGCCAAACAAGCATTGATCCGACGTGGCATACTCCTAATGAGACGTCTAAGGTCATTTTGGTCCAGATTGTCCCATTCCTGTTGCAACGCAGCAGCAAGTTCTTGGACATTGGCAGGACGTTGTTGACGTTGACGTAACCTCTGTCCAAGCATGTCCCAGACATGCTCGATGGGGGAGAGGTCGGGACTCAGTGCTGGCCAAGGTAATGTGGTGATGTTCTGTTGTTGGAGGTAACTTGTAACGATCCTGGCCCTGTGACATCTTGCGTTGTCATCCTGGAAGATGAAACGGCGGCCATGACGTCGTGCGAACGGCACAACATGGACAGCCAAGATGTTGTCCCGGTAGTACTGGCCTGTAACACGCCCTGCAACAACATGTAAAGCCGTTCTTCCAGCAACAGTGACGCCTCCCCACACTATCACAGAACCACCCCCAAATCGATCATGTCTGATGACGTTAACGTCTTGGAAGCGCTCGTTTCGACGACGCCACACCCTCCTACGTCTGTCCAAAAAATCAACAGTGAACCTTGACTCATCTGAAAACATCACATTGCTCCAGCGTCGATTATCCCAGTGTTGACGATCCCTACACCAACGACGTCTTGCCTGAATGTGATGATCTCTCAAACAAGGGATCACGCGAGGACGTCGGGCACGAAGGTGACCCCTATGCAGTCGATTCCGAATCGTCTGGCCACTCGCTCTCACACCAGTGTCTGTTTGAAGACGAGCGCTGATCTGATTTGCTGTGATGACACGATTTCTCAAGGCCAAGGTACGGATAAATCGATCCTGGGCTTGAGTTGTCGCCCTTGGTCGACCTGAGCGTGGTCTGTCCTGTACAGATTGTGTATCTGGACCATAGCCTGCTTATGACAGACTGAGAAACATTCATCGTCCGCGCCACAACCGCCTGTGTTGTGCCGATCTGTGGCATGCCAAGGGCACGTAACCTTTCATTTTGCGTAAGCCGACGCATATCAAAATTTGTTTTCTGGTCACTAAAACAATTAAACTGATGTTTCCACCCTGGAATTCAATGCCACAATGACTGTAACATTCAAAGTCAGAGTCGTGCAAATCTTGGGTTGGACCCCCATGATGATCCCAAGCATCACCTGCATTCCATGCGGTAGCTATTGGTGCGTTTGGGCGTCACATGTAACTGGAAATGTTTCTTCTGTTAGGTTCTATAGTGACTTTTTTCGTAGTCATTTGCATATTTTAGTATTATGCCCCCAAAATCAAATATCCCCTACTTTTTTTGAATAGTATATTTAATGGCTGTTAATGGCTTGATTATCTGTATAGGTACCTAAACGATTTGAAGATATGTACAGTAATATTAATAACAAAGATAGGCGTATATACAGCGGTAAGTAATCTTTAAAATATCATTCGCAATACCGTGACCAGTCCTGACCAGCATTTCATTATTTTGTAAGGGGGAGGATACTTTTGGTCTACTGTATTGAAAAAGAGTATTTCCTCTCGAGACGAGACAGTTGGTCTTCATTCAAACAAGCTTAAAAAGTAACCCGAAAGACCGAAAAAGAAATCATGAACGTTAACTGAATTTGGTGGGAGTTTGGGTATAAATGATCCGTTATTAAAATGATTATAATACTATCACAAACAGAGCCGTATGTAGGATTTTAAAAGTGGGGGTGCAGCAGAATGGTTGGGGGCGCCAATATAATGCCCGAGTTACTGAGCGTGTGTGTGTGTGTGTCCCCACAAAAATTTTGAAAATTAGGCTGCCGCAAACGCGTTTCCCAAACGCGTGACGCCCCATAGCCTCCACATAAGTGATATAAGAAAGTTTGCATCAGGGCAAACGAATCAGGTACCTATTGGCGTGTGGGTGCCATTAAAACCGACCGACTCATCAGTGCCTTAAGAGCATCACTGTGTGATCATAATCAAGTGTATTATTTTATAATTGAAAGGTTGCCAATTTTTTTGAGGGGGCGCCATTTCTCGGGCGCCTTATTTCTCTGGGGGTGCAATGTGCCCCCTGCACCCCGCTAGATACGGCCCTGGTCACAAATCAATATCCGTGGTTGCCCTTTCCCATTTTTAGGGAATTGTTGACGTTAATCCCCTCCCTCTCACACCTATATCTTTCTAAAAGCCTTTCGTGACTTTGTAACTCACAAATCATAGAGATGATTTCTGTGAAATGCCCTATAAAACTGTGTTAGAGATTTAGCTTATCTACACTAACCTTAAGGAATTCGTTATGGAAATATCTCATGATTGGCTCCATTCACTGGAATAACATATTTCTTCCAGGAATGGTATCTGCTTTAGATGAAGCCGTGGGTAATATCACTAAATCTTTGCAACAAAATGGTTTTATGGATAACATTTTAATAGTATTTACAGCTGATGTAAGTTAACACATTAATGGTGTTTAAGGGAAAATAACAACCGTATACATCTTTTTAATTCTAAAGAAAAAAAGACATCTTTTGTAGATAACCTGACATATCTGCAAATCCTGACGATAGCGCTGATGAACATCATCGGCATACATTTGACTGAAGCTGAAGACAGAAGAAAGTTCAAGACAGAACTTGTCTGGAAATTGCAGATTTTACTACAGACACAAAACGGATAAATATTTAGTCTGTAGTACTCTGACTATGCAGGACGAATCAAATTATAGACTGCACAAAGAGATTTAATTTGAAATATAAATCCTTAAAACAACTGATGCAAAGCAATTGTTTGTAATTTCAATCCGACCAGGATACTGTTGTTTGTCAGCTCAACTCACAATTTATTTCTACTTTTTTATAATTATGAAGCATATTATTTACATTGCCCTTTTTTAGAATGGTGGAATTCCAACCTACGGGGGTAATAATTTACCGTTACGTGGTGCAAAGTCTACTTTATGGGAAGGTGGAACGAAGGGGGCAGCCTTTGTTTACAGCCCTACTTTATTGAATAAGACGGGATATACAAACACACAGTAAGTTTATATCATCAATATTATTTGTTTATTTCAGATAATTATTAGAGCGCTTTATCCACACCTTTCCTGTCATATCATTTTTTATTTATGGGTTTGTCACGAGGGCTTTTGTTATCAAACATGACATTCGACATAGTTTTACTTAGAAAGATAAGTTTTAGTATAAGATTAATACCTTTATATTTTTAAAGGTGCCAGAAAGCCGAAAGTTATTTTCACTGTTTAACAAAAAAGGACGTATTCCATCGCCAGTAAGTGATGCAGGACGGAGGGCCTGACAAGGACAGCTGTCTAGTCGTTCGGATGGGACGATAAATCGAGGTCCCGTGTATACATTAGCGTGCACGTAAAAGATCCCTTGACAGTTGGAATTCGATATAAGAGTAGGCCGTAGTGCCGCTGTCCGGGCAAAATTTCCCTCATAGCACACTGAATGGCGTATGCCAGTTTTATTAGCCCAGTTCGGAGCAGAACAGTAGGACGTTAAACCAAATTTCATTTAATTTCATTTATATCGAATTCCAACTGCCAAAGGTTCTACACGGGACTTCGGTTTTCGTCCAATCTGAACGACTATGTAATGTCCCTTTCGCTGCACCACTGACAAGGGGGAACCACCCCGGAAAATACCGATGAATTTTCTCGGTCAACAACGGGATCGAACACGAGATCTCCAAATAAGCTAGTCAACGTCTTACTCGCTGAGTCACCGTGGCTCACCTTTAGACAGTAACCGAGTGATCAGAACAAAACATCTTAGATTATAATATAATTACTTTAATCATATACACAATATATATGGTAATATAAAGACGATAGAACAGACATGCACCACTGCATGTGCATTGTCCCTGACGTCACAAGCCCCCGGGGGCTCAGTGAGTAAAACGCTGACTCGCTAACCTAGTGATCTCACATCCTGGTGTTTGCCGGGAAAGTTCCTCGGGATTTACCTTCGTGCCCCCCCCCCCCCCCCCGCCGCCATGCCAGAGGGACAGAATGGAGGTCCTTGCAAAGGACTATACACTCCACTACCACTAGCCAGCCCTGCATTGTATTATTATTTTATATATTTTATATTGTAATGTTTCGTGATAATCGTTCGTACTTGTTACGTCTCTATTTCTTGTATAATTGTTTTTAAATCTAGAATGATGCATGCTACTGATTGGTTTGCTACTTTCTTAGATGTTGCTGGTGGACAACCAGGTATGCGATTTCATACAGCATATGGATTGCCCAAACCATCATCGTCATCATCATCATCATCATCGAAATGTTTATCACCAGGAGCAACATCGATCATTAATATAAACTGGTCATTTGGGTTCTAGCGTTGTATATATTTATTTTCATAATGCACGTGTGCGTAGGGATCTAAAAAACAGTGAGGGAACCAGTGGACTCAGACACACGACTGGCAATCATACTCATTGTACCATATAAGCCTGATATCAAAACCTCAACACTTGATGACAAATTTCAAGATCTACAGCACATACGTTAGATCATCCCTATAAACTCACGAATCTTGTAATACAATGTAATGAAGTAAGCTTATGGAAGATTATGACAGAACATGATACATTTCGAGAATGCTATTAAAGGTTTTATTATTTTTCAGAGAAAGGTGTTGATGGTATTACCCAGTGGGACATGTTGAGAACAGGTTCATCCAGTAAAAGAACTGAATTTATCTATAATATCGATGAGGTTGATAAGAATGCTGCTATCAGGTTATAATTTTTTTATTGAACATGATAATACATTGTATACATAGTGGTCGATTACATGTACATAATATCATCGCGGCCATCTTGTAATTAGTAAAATGTAGGGGGGGGGGGGGTTAGATTTAATTTGTTGGTATTTTTTCAGAGTTATACATATTCATATGGTGGAGCGTTGGCTTAAAATTCCAAAAATCAACTCCCGCTGTTCTTGGAACTGACTATAACATCATCGCGGCCATCTTGTAATTATAGATTCATATATAGATTGAAGTCCATCAATCTATGCTACTGTGCAAGGGAGAAGCATGAATCAACGGAGTAACATATTACATACTCTGCCGTGTGTACCACATCCACCACTTCTATAATAATATAAAAATGGTAAATGCAGAAACAAAACAGCATAAGGGGGATGAATGACAGAGGCATTTGACATTTATCAACAATTTCCTGATGAACGTTAAATTAAAGACGTAAATACTAAACGCATTCCGTTCGTCAATATTCCGAACTAAAATGAAATAAAATGGGTTTAACCACTTACTGTTCTGCTCCGACTGGGCATACGCCATACAGTGTGCTATGAGATAAATTTTACCGGTACAGCGGCGCTATGGCCTACCCGTATATCATATTTCACCTGCCAAGGGATCTTTAACGTGCACGCCAATGTGTACACGGGAAATGAAATGAAATGGGACTTAACGTCCTACTGTTCTGCTCCGACGCTACTACTGAAGACGTTCAAACGCTATACAGTGTGCTATGAGGGAAATTTTGCCCGGGCAGCGGCACTATGACCTACTTTTATATCAAATTCCAACTGCCAATGGATCTTTTACGTGCACGCCAATGTATACACGGGTCTTTGTTTTTGCATACCATTCGAACTACTATACATTGTCTCTTGCCAGGCCTTCGGTCCTGTCCACTGACAAGGAGGAACCACGCCGAAAAATCCCAATGAACTTTCTCAAGAATCGAACATAGGATCTCCAAGTTAGAGAACCAACTTCTTTTTCACTGAGCCACCGTGACTCCCCATTATTCCGAATCTAATTTATATAGTAATCTAGCTTTTGGTAACAGTGGTATCTTTAATCTCTGTCTCGAGAGGGTGTTTAAAATCTTTCTGACTGTAACTGAACTTCGTTCCAACTGACTTAAGATCAACTGGTATACATGTGAATACCTATCAAGTGCTTAAAAAGTTTTGTTTTATTACTAATCCTCAATGGTATTGTCTGTGGTAGTTCTAACATTTCCCGCAGTGGCATCTTCTCCATTTTTGGGGTTTGGCGTCAGAGTGGCGTTTAACATTTAGTAGAATTGTAAATATTGATAGCGGCAGGTTGTTCAAATAGAGTTGCAATTACATTAAATACTTTGCAGGTATGGTGATTTGAAATTAATTGAAGGTAGTGCCGGAAGATTCAATGACTGGTATTCTGTGCCGACATCTAATTTAGAAAACATTAAGACAGCTGATCCTCTGGATGGGTTGAATACAAAAACAGATTTATGGGTTGAACATTTTGAAATAGAGAATATTGCCGAGTCGGCTGAACCACAATACCGATTATTTAATATTACTGGTATGTAGTTGACCGTCATGGCGTATTAAACAGTACCCAAATAGTCATTGAGACTAAAACAGTGTTCCCGAGTTTCCTTTTGCACACGACACATTTTGAACCGGTAAAAATATCTTGGCGCACTTAGAATATAAGTGTTACAATGTTTCAGATTCCACCTGAGAAAGGATGACAAGGGGTTTGGCGTCGCTGTGGTGAAATGTACAGATATGACTGCATTATGCAAAGGCATCGTTCGGGTAAAATATTTGCTGGGCTTTGGGGTGCATCAACTACCATCCAATATTTCAACTTAAAGGGCAATATTGGTGTCAGCCATTATCACATATGTGATAGAACTGGTTGAACACGTTCCAAATGAAATGAAATGAAATGGGGTTTAACGTCCTACTGTTCTGCTCCTAACCTGGGCTAATGAAGACGGGCATACGCCATACAGTGTGCTATGAGGGAAATTTTGCCCGGACAGCGGCACTACGGCCTACTCTTATATCGAATTCCAACTGCCAAGGGATCTTTTACGTGCACGCCAATGTGTACACGGGACCTCGGTTTTTCGTCCCATCCGAACGACTAGACAGCTTTCCTTGTCAGCCCCTCCGTCCTGCATCACTGACAAGGGAGAACCACGCCGGAACACGTTCCAAATATAATTTTAACACAGAGATGAATGCTATGATATAAGACGCGTAACCAAAATTAAAAAAAACGGAAGTGACGAAAACAAAAGGAAAACACGACTTATCCTTCTACATAACTGACAGATGTTATCGATTGTTACTTCAGTCAGTTATATATAAGGATAACTCGTGATATCGTTTTGCTTTCGTCACTTCCGTTTCTTAAAATCTTCATTACTCATCTATCGTAGCAATCATCTCTGTGTTAAAATTATATCTGAAACGTGTTTAATCAGTTCTATCACATATGGGATAATGGCTGACACCAATATTGTCCTTTAATAGTGCTCGAGAGCATATAACAGGTGTCTGCATGGACTTTAGGAACCACAAACAACGTGGCAGATCTCGAATGATCACTCGCTAATCTATCATCTCACTCAGGGTACCCAACTGCAAAATCTCCGTTAACTGGAAGCAACATTTTAATGAGACGTATTCCACAAGCAACCATCCAGGCCTTATCTCTGCGATGTGGAGACATGATACAGGTGGACGCACACGTTAATGACGTTTGAATTTTACCCAATGTGCCTACACTTCATCTCTAAGTCAAGTTGTTATATTATGTCGTCCATGGGTTTTTGTTGATTTTTATGTATCGATAAATTGCATTCTAATAATAATGTCCCATCAACACAATACTTGAACGACACTGTTCATGCGGGAAACCTTCTTGACCAACGCCGGGATCGAACACCGGACCTCCTGGTTAGTGAGCAAGGGTCTTACTCACCTAGTCACAATATACGATAAGGATATAATGTAGTATACAATATGGATGATTTTAGTGACTAAATTATGTAAATTTTCTTTCAGCTGATCCAACTGAACATTTTGATATTGCTGACCAGTTTCCGGATCTGGTGACCAAACTAAGAAATAAACTCGAAGAATATAAGAAATCGTTGGTTCCAGCCTTTAACCCTAGTTTTTCACCCAAATCTTTACCTATCTTCTATGATGGTGTTTGGACACCTGGATGGTGCTAAAATATGTAAAAAGTGTATGAATGATAAATTTCACAAGAATTTATTATACTGATATACTGGAAATTGCTTATACCCCGTCAGACCGGGGTGGAGTCCTTACTTCGCTGCTACGGCAACGGAAAATGGTTTTAGAGCGCGTTAAAATCGCCATAAGCGTGGTGGAAACACCAGCTATCGTGCTGTGGTCACCATGGTCGCCGATGTTCAAAACAAACGCCACGGTTCTGCGATCTGAACTGGAAAGCTATGAGAACACGACTTTTTTCAAGTTTGTAAATTTTGGGGGACATTTTCTCGCGTTGTGTTCACGTTTGCCGGCTACCTTGTGCAATTTCTGGTCGACGTACGGTCGCAGCAGCGCAGTAAGGTCGCCACCCCGGTCTGACGGGGGTATAAGCAAATCAATTTTCAAGTTAAGGCCCTAACATTCCAGACCAGACAGTAAATAAATATAGACGTTCAGGCCATACATATTAACATATTGATCAAATATTATTAACATCGAATAATCATAACTTTAGTTATAGCTATTAATTTCAGTCGCCATCCTTGTTTTTATACACGTACTAAACCATAACTCCTGAAAATCAAGGCTAAAATGGTATCTAAGCTATATTTATTTGGCTTACAATCGCATATATTTTACTATCCACTGTTTCCTCTAAGTTTTAGTAGTCAGTGTTGGCAAAATTCTTATGGTATGCAGATTGTATTTCTGTGGCAATAGTGCGGTGCGCAAGATATTTGTATAAAAGTGTAATGGTAAATGAGAAAGTGGTCTTGTGGTGGTATCTGAGAACCAAAATATTAATTCACCACACATACATACAACTGAAAATGAACGTTATACTATCGGAAGAACACATTTGAAGTGTTATTTTGTAAAATTGAAATACGAAAAATGTTTATTACCCCTCTAGCTGATCACTAATATGAAATTCATTGTCAATATTTTTAAAGACGACTTGACCGTCGTATTTATCACTTTAAATTACACAAATGGTCATTATTCATCAAGACAATTAAGAATTACTGTCATGACAAATTGGAGAATACTGTTTAGTATATAGTTTTATTTATTACTTTAAGAAAGTTATCAAAATAATACACGGTATTGTAGGATAAATGGAATATCATGTTTAGCTTTATTTTTGCAATAAAATGTGAATAAAATTATTTACAGCATAGTGTTTTGAAATTTATTCTAGGCAAAGTTATCAGTGTTTGAAGATGTAGCGTTGATTGTTTATTTCCATATCCAGAAAGGAACGTAGTGGAACATTGAATATCGATAGGTTTCGTCATCTCTTGAACCCAGTGCTTCACACCAAATGTGAAAAACAATGTAGCCGCTATCGTGTTCACAAGGCTTTCCACAAAGGGGAACTAACCAAAATAGGCTTCATACTCACATGTTAATAATTCATTAAACTAGAAAGCACACAAATCTTGTTACACATGTGGGCACAGATTCGTATTTAAAACTGCGCCCTAGTATCTTTGACAGTTCAAAGAAACGTTCAAAATAGATTCAAAAGCGAGGGTTAACTGTAACTCGTATCTGGCGACCCAGATCTGGTGGTGCGTCACCTGTATCTTTGCAACAATAAGCGAAAAGGAAACGAACTGAAAAGACGGGGGGCCAAGCACAACGACGTGATGGATGATAATATTACAATGATTGCAGATGGCGCTTATAGCACATTAAGTTTTCTCATAAAATTGTCTCAGATTCTCAAGCATATATACCGGGGGGGGTTGAATGGCTGAATGGTTAGCGTGCGCGCGCTGTATCATAAAGTCTGTCATTGAGTCAACTGGCGTGGTTTCGAATCCCCGGTTGTACGTGGCAAGGAGTAGGGTCGCCTGTCCAACCTCGTGGGTTTTCTCCGGGTCCTCCGGTTTCCTCCCACTGCTAAAGACCCCTAATCCTACGCGCAAGCGAATTATGTAAATAAAATTAAACCATATGTTTGTCCCGAAATGACCTAGTTTGTGTCGAGTGGACGTTAAACCCCATTTCTCTCTCTCTCAACCATATATACCATTTTTTCTCAAAGGCTCTTACTGCTTTCATAGTTATATATCTCTGTCTTAGAAGTATATTCCACATAGTTTTCCCTAGCATCTTATAGTGCTAATACGTTCTTGTAATAAGCGCGAAAAAGACCCAAGCAAATACAGAAAATGTATTTTTATAATTAAATTATTTGTGTCTTAGAAGTGCCTTCAACACAGTTTCCCCATAGCATCTTATAGTGTTAATATTTTCTTGCAAAAAGCACAAACCAGATATCAGCAGATACTGCATATTAATAATATTTAAATCTTAAAGGTATCTTTACCATAGATTCTCCTAGCATCTTCTAGTGCTAATATTTTCATTATAAGCACAAATAAGATACCAGCAAATACTGCATTTCATTAACTATATTATAATATCTATGTCTTAGAACTGCTTTCAATTTCCCCTAATATCTTACTTATAGTGCTAATACTATCTTACAAAAAGCACAATTAAGATGGAAGATGCATACACTGCGTAGTTATATTATATGCGCTCTAGGAGTGACTTCAAAACATGTTCTCCTAGCAGATTATGGCGGTAATCCTGTATTGTAATACGCACGAATAAGATATTAGCAATTAGCAAATACTGCATTTTCAGAATTATACTATTTGTATCTTAGAAGTGTTTTGATACAGTTTTCCCCAAGCATCCAAAAGTGATAATATTTTCTTGTATTAAGCACATATTAGATACCAGCATAATAATTATATCATATGTGTCGTTGAAGTTTCTTCAACGCAGTTTCCCCTAGCATCTTATAGTGCTAATACTTTCTTGTAATAAGCACAGATAAGATATCAACAAATACTGCATCTTCAAAGTTATCCAAACTGTATAGCGGAAGTGTCTTCAACAACGTGTTTCCTAGCATCTTGTGCTAATATTTTCTTGAAATAAGCACAAATAAGATAACAGCAAATACTGCATTTTGATTAGGTTATCATTTGTGTTTTCTAAGCCGTTCCCCCGAAATCCTATAGTCCTAACATTTCCATATCTTAGAATTGTCTTTAACACAGTTTTCCCTAGCATCTTAAGCTGCTAATCTTCTCTTGTAATAAGCAGAAATACGACACCGGCAAATACTGTATTTTCGTAATTGTATTGTATGTGTCATAGTAGTGTTTAACGCAGTTTCCCCTAGCATCTTATAAGACACCAGCAAAAGGCGGCATTTCCATAATCATATTATTTCCGACGGGACGATTTACCCAATACTACCCAATACTACCGAATACCACCCGAATACCACTCCAATGTCGCCACATACTACCCAATACTACAACATAATGGTGCAAACTTACCATATTACTTGATTTTTTAAAAAAAAATAGTGAGATATATCGCGTGGGAATTGTACTTCAAATGTGATTAACGATGTCTGGCTGTTCCATTTGCATCCCTATAACACCCAAATCAAGTAAATAATAACCTAATACTACCAAATACTTATCAAATACTACCAAATACTACTCAATATTATCAAATACAAACCTAATATCGTCAATTAGCAGTACATCAGTATAGTTACTGCAACGAATATTCGCAGACAATTGAAATGTTTACAAAGTTATCTCCCTTTACAACCGATAAATAGATTTTTAGATTGCTACTCAGATCAGTCATCTTCTTTGGCTTTGCCAACGCTATAGTTTATTCATACAATATTACACGTTAAAGGCATATCAATATATAACATACCATAAAATAAAAAGAGTTTTAAAAGAAATTAACAAAGATTTAAAAATGCATTAAAATAAATTCATTTTATAAAATAAGCAGCCAAACATCCAAATAAAAGAGTATTTTAGAGGTTGATTTAAAAATGATCATTTGTAGGTCTCATGGCCTTCTAAAAATTATATATTATAGTGCTACGTTTGTCATGTAATAAGCACAAATAAGATACCAGCAATTACTGAATTTTCATAATTCTATTATATTTCACCGTAGAAGCGTTTTAACGCAGTTTCCCCCTATAACCTTAATGTGCTTCTTGTAATATATTATATGTGTCTTAGAAATGTCTTCAATGCCATTTCCACCAGCATCTTATAGTGCTAATAATTTGTCTTATAATAAGCACATATTAGATACTAGTGAACACTGCATTTTCATAATTTTATTATCTTTATCTTAGAAGTGTTTTCAACAGTTTCGCCTAGCATCTTATAGTGCTAATATGGTCATATAATAAGCACAAATAAGATACCAGCAAATACTGAATTTTCATATTGTATTTGTTGTAGAAGTGTTGTTTAAGCAAATTTTATAATTATATCATATTTGTCGTAGAAGTGTTATCTAACACAGTTTCATCTATTATCTTATGGCGCGCTAATCTTTTCTTGTAATTATATTATAGGTGTTTTAGAAGTATCTTCCACGCAGTTTCCCCTGCCATCTTATAGTGCTAATATTTTTTGTAATGAGCACATATTAGATTCTAGTGAAAATTGCATTTTCATACTTTTATTATCTTAGATGTGTTTGCAACAGTTTCGCCTAGCATCCCATAGTGCTAATATGGTCATGTAATAAGCACAAATAAGCTACCAGCAAATACTGTATTTTCATAATTATATTTTATTTGTTGTAGAAGTGTTGTTTAACACAATTTCCTCTATCATCTGATTGTGCTAGTCTCTTCTTTTAATTATATTATGTCTCTTAGAAGTGTCTTCAATGCAGTTTCCCCTAGCATCTTATAGTGCTAATAATTTGTCTTTTAATACGCACATATTAGATAGTAGTGAACACTGCAATTTCATACTTTTATTGTAATTATATTATGTCTCTTAGAAGTGTTCTCAATGCAGTTTCCCCTAGCATCTTATAGTGCTAATAATTTGTCTTTTAATAAGCACATATTAGATAGTAGTGAACACTGCAATCCCATACTTTTATTATCTTTGTCTTGAGCACAAAGCAAAAATAAGATTCCAACAAATATTAAATTTCCATAATTGTATCATATGTATCGTGGAAGTGTTTGACTCACTTTCCCCTATCATATAGTAGTACTAATAGATTTTTGGTAAAATAAGATACAAACAAATACAAAAATTCCGTAATTTTATTTTATATGTCTCAGAAGTATTTTAGGAGTTTGACCTAACATCTTATAGTGCTAATACTTTTTTGTAACAAGCACAGATAAGACAACACCAAATACTACATTTCCATGATTATAATTATCTGTATCTTAGAAGTGTTTTAATAGTTTCCCCATGGATCTTATTATGCTAATCTTTTCATGTAATAAGCAGAAATAAGAAACCCGCAATTACTGAATTTTCATAATTCTATTATATTTCCCCGTAGAAGTGTTTTAACACAGTTTCCACTATAATCGAACTGTGCTTATCTCTTTTTGTAATTATAACATACGTTTCTTAGAGGGATTTTCAATGCAGTTTCCCCCAGCATTTTATAGTGCTAATAATTTGTCTTTTAATAAGCACATATTAGATACAAGTGAACACTGCATGTTCATACTTTTATTATCTTTATCTTAGAAGTGTTTTCATCACAGTTTCCCCTAGCATCTTATAGTGCTAATACTTTCTTGTAACAAGCACACATAAGACAACAGCAAATACTTCACTTCCCTAATTATAATTATCTGTATCTTAGAAGTGTTCTAATAGTTTCCCCAAGCATCTTATTATAGTGCTAATTTTGTCATTTAATAAGCACAAATAAGATACCAGCAATTACTGAATTTTCATAATTCTATTATATTTCTCCGTAGAATTGTTTTAACATAGTTTCCCCTATAACCCTAATGTGCTATTCTCTTCTTGTAATATATTATACAAATGTATGTGTCTTAGAAATGTCTTCAATGCCATTTCCCCCAGCATCTTATAGTGCTAATAATTTGTCTTATAAATAATAAGCACATATTAGATGCTAGTGAACACTGCATTTCCATACTTTTATTATCTTTATCTTAGAAGTGTTTTCAACACAGTTTCCCCTAGCATCGTATAGTGCTATATGGTTATGTAATAAGCACAAATAAGATACCAGCAAATACTGAATCTTTATAATTATATCATATATGTCGTAGAAGTGTTATCTAACACAGTTTCATCTATTATCTTATAGC